AGTAACAAAAAAATATTCAAATGTAATCAGTTTCTGCCTTTTATTTAGTAAATTCAGTTCAATCTTTCTTTCTCATTTCATCCTCATTTCATTCATTCATCACTTCATACATAACGTTCCGTTACAACATGTCTATTTGTGATTTATATAAATACTCAACCATTCCATGTGTGCGACCGAGATGTTTTCGTAGACTGGTATTAGCTGTCCCACCTGATTTGTATTTCTATAAAAAGTAACAGTTTTTAAGAGAAATATCCTATGGGTAAAGTCAGCCTTTAACCCCGCAATTCCAAAATATTTTTCGAAAAACTTTGAGATTTTCCTGCATTTTCTCAGCATTCCTTTTATCGGAAACAGTAAAATGTTCAGAGAAAAAACTACAGAAAATCTAATTAAAAGTAGGAAAAATCACTATCCTTCGCAAATTATAAGACCTATGGATGTTTGTTGAATAACTTCAGAACGAAATGAGCTAGAGACTCCGGATTTTCATCATTAAAAGCAAGAGTGAGTCTTTGAGGTATCTTTCTATAACAGATATAAATTCAAAACTAGTCTTTTAAAGTAGGTTTCTGAGAAGATCTTTGGGAAACCAGCGCATAGCTCAAAAGCTACAAAAGCAAAAAAATCTATATTAGGTGAAATAACCCATTTTTTACTACTCTCATCTATAGAATCTCATTCAGTAGATAAAATTGAGTGTATCTTGATATTCTGAGGTAGTCTGGATCGGTTTTGACTGAATTATGAATTTCCTAATTTTACACGAAAATAGGCAGAAATGGGTTATTTCACCTAATATAGATTTTTTTGCTTTTGTAGCTTTTGAGCTATGCGCTGGTTTCCCAAAGATCTTCTCAGAAACCTACTTTAAAAGACTAGTTTTGAATTTATATCTGTTATAGAAAGATACCTCAAAGACTCACTCTTGCTTTTAATGATGAAAATCCGGAGTCTCTAGCTCATTTCGTTCTGAAGTTATTCAACAAACATCCATAGGTCTTATAATTTGAGAAGGATAGTGATTTTTCCTTCGTCTGATTTTCCAGTTTTAGATGGAATAAATTTCAGGTCGAAACACCCCTTGTTCCTCGTATCCTCCATGAAAACCTTTGTATTTTTGGTTCTGGACTATCTCACCTTAGAATCTATTTCTTATTTATTTCACTGATAAGAAAAACTTGAACGTATGATCATTATTGAAGTGTAAAGTCAATTAGACTTACTTTCTCACATAGTTTGCACTGATAAGTGTTTGGAGCTATTAATTTAAAATAACTTTTTGTAGATGGCTTTGACTTTGGCTTTGGTGTTGTTGAAGCGGACGTGGTAGGCTGATTTTGATCGTTTTCATCATCTGATACTTCAATTGACACTCGATTTATTGCTGGTCGCTGATCTGAGCAATTGAGCTTCTCTCTATTCTCTTCTTCCATCTCCTCATTTTCATTGTTTTCCTGATTCACTTCCATGTTACTTTGATCGTTTCCATCATCAACCTCCAGGTCGTCGTTATTCGTCCGTCGCTGTTTTATATTTGCTCGAATAGTTAGACCACGTCTTCTCGGTGGACGCCCTCGTTTCTGTCCCTGTCCTCTCACGGGTATTAATTTTGATTTTCCGCGTCCACGACTGTTTGTTCGTTGTCGCATACCTCGTGTGATTGTACTACAGGCTTGATAACTGTTCGAAGACGAGAGACGTGATCGAGTATTTTGTCTTACCAGTGGAGTATTTTGATCAAGACGAGACAAAATATCATTCGGATTATGTTCATCATCAGTTGAAGAAGACATTTTACCACTTCAGCGTTAAAAAGTCTATGTTCGATAGTTTAGTTTAGTCGCTTTTATGTAGAAAACACAACTTGTAGTTATTGCATACAAAGGAAGAAGAGAAAGTGCTGTGAATAGTTAGACTAGAAAATATGTAAGTTATGATAGATTGTATAGTACGAAGCGTTGTTATTACGCCGTCTATTCAGCATATATGTAAAACTATTCTTTTCTTTTTCCCTTACTTTTTTTGCTCTGCCTAGGCTATAGCCATAGCCTAAAGTGTTGACCAAAACCACTGAAGTTATCTGACCCTACTTTTGCATCTGCGATTCACGGTTCGTTCTCTTCATTTGAGAAAACTTGCATTGTTTTCAGTTGCATCCATTTACAATTTTGAATATAAATTATTTTTAGAGCTTTTCAAGATTCCGATGGCGTCATTAATCCAGAAATTCCTCAAAAAATTTTCGTTTACGTAAATACCTCATTATTCATCCAAAAACACGTTAGGAAATCGTTTGAATATATTTTGAAAAATTATTTTTGTATTACTTTCCTGAAAAGTAATACTAATTTTATGAATATTCCTGTTACTAGTAACCGTAATACTTCCAGTATTACGGTTACTAGTAACAGGAATACACGGAAGATTACTGTTACCAGTAACAGGAATACACGGAAGATTACTGTTACCAGTAACAGGAATACCTTACAGTATTACTTTCCTCGGTAATGTAATACATGAGTAACAGTAATACTACCACCCCTAATCGATAAAGAACATTCAATGCTTATGGTAAAGATATAAACTTTCCGTAAAAGTCTGATTATTCTAGTAAAGAAGAAAAACTCTTATTTTTGCTAATACGTTTGAATCCGAGTTGACGAAACAAATGCGGCTACGAGATTTAGCATAGTGAACCACTTACTTTTTTATTCAGTTCAGACTATGTAACCGCATATCTGACGATTCTAACGAAAATATCTACATTGTCAAAATATATGTTCCGTGCAGAGATCTGCACAGGCCGAAAACTTCTGACCCGTCCCGGCTCGATGATGAAAGTTTCCGGACCAGGCCCGGCTCAACTAAACGTAGAATTTATTCAGAACGGCCCGATCCGACCACTTTACGTGATTTTCTTCTGTAATGCTTTTGCTGACTAAGCGGTGTAAATGTATTTCTCAAGCTAGTTTATATTTTTATGATTTCTCGATACCGAGTATACAAATAAATTACAAATCCACGCATGCTCAAACATTCTAAGTTCGGCCAGATCAGAGCAAAATATTCTGCGGTCCAAGCCCGTCCCACCCACTCTATAAAATTTTCTGGTCCGGCCCGTGATCTCTGGTTCCGTGAAATATGAAGTTGCACACTAGTCAAGAAGACAGTTTGGGCTATCTAGCCTGAAATTATTGTCCAAGAAATTAATTTAGAAAGAATGGACATCTTACTCAGGATCCATCAAGTAGACCGCCTGATAATGCAGTTTTCAACAGATTTGTAAATATGAAAATGCAGTTACGTCTGCTATACACAACGTTGAATCCAGTATGTCTTTACGTATCAGCTTCACTTTCTTTGTAGAAACTAAACTCCGCTTTTTACTCAGAGGCGAAAATCCAGAAAAGTCTATCCGTGATGTCTCTATTTTTTTTTCTATCAAGCATCATGTAAAGTGTATTCAGAAACATTATATTTTGAAAAGAATTTTAGGTATATTCTATGTGTGCAACTGCATCGACTAAATTTATCCTTTTTAGGTGAATCACTTTTATCGAGTGTCTTGTCACAATTAATATTGTATGTTTCACCAGAATGTCGATTGTTTAATGTTTATGGACCAGCTGAATGTACAGAAGCATCAACATATTATCTTATGGATCGAAATATTAATGTGAACTTACTAACGACAATTCCGATTGGACGACCATTACCCAATTATACGTGTTACATTATGGACGATTATTTACAACCTGTTCACCTTTATACAGTTGGAGAATTATTTATCGGTGGTGTTGGTGTATTTGCTGGTTATTATGGACGACAAGACTTAACGGAACAAGTTCTCGTTGATTTACCGAGTGTTATAAATGAGAAATGTTATCGTTCTGGTGATCTTGTTAAATTAGATGAAGAAGGTTTCATTCATATTATTGGACGAAAAGATTTTCAAATTAAATTGAGAGGGCAACGTATTGAAACCAGTGAAATAGAAGAAACTGTTCTTAAATTAACATCTCATATTACAAATTGTATTGTTATAAAACATGAAGACTATTTAATAGCATACATAGAAATATCTCCAGCTAATAGGCCATCATTAGAAACAGAAGTGAGAGAATATTGTCGACTACATTTACCACAATATATGATACCATCAGTATTTATCATTATGGAACAATTTCCTCTCAATTCGAACGGAAAAGTGGATCGTAAACGCTTAACTCTACCTGATTTGACCCAAATAAAAATTAATGAAGAATACATTAAGCCACAATCGAACTTAGAAATAGAAATTCATCAATTATGGTGTGAAGTGTTGCAGTTAGAAAAAATATCAATGAACAAAAATTTCTTTTCATTAGGTGGAAATTCTCTATTACTGATAAAACTCTATGTATTATATCAATCAAAATATTCTTTGGATGTGAATATCGGTCAATTATTCAAACAGACAACAATTCAAGAACATGTTCAATTGTTGCTATGTTTTTTATCAACAATAGTACCGAAACAAGAAAAACAACAACAATGGACCACAATGAATATTACTGAAGGTAAATAACTGATTCTATTATATGAATAACAACAGTGTGTGTGCTTCCGAATAAACAAATCACTTAGTGTTCTGCTTTTATTGCAGTTCGACGTCATATCATAGACTTAACTTTGTTTAAAAACATGCGCCTTGCGATTTTCCACAAAAAATTGTATTGACTGTTTTATGATTACATGCAAAAGCGAAACACTATATGAAAGTAATGAGATGCTGCAAGCATAGTCAAAGGACGGGGGTCGATAAGAGGCAAAATCGGTCCCCTCTCAGATCAAGCGCATATTCAAAAGTCTGATGTAGCTTTACTAGCACCTCAAAAAAACCATTTTCACCCCCCTGGAAAAAATTCCGCATCCAAACTTTTCTCCCCGTAAATGAACTTTATTTAGAGTATTTTCCCAGTTCTTCCCTTTGCGCAAAGCAAACCTTAACTACTGTATATCATTCGATAGAGAATTTCACGGGCTACAAAATGATACATAGGATATTGAGAACAAATGGGGTGTGCGAGCCCTAACACTAAAAATAAAACTGGTCCTTCAATTCTTCATAAAATAAGATGCTGGCCACGTTTTTACGACGTTGTATCAAATTATAGAAAATATGATACAGTTCGAAAACGGCATTAACGCGACTAAATTTATCTTCATAATGTTAAAACGCCTGTAACTCGGTTGTCCACGATCGTAGAAACCTGGTCAGCATCTTATTTTATGGAGAATTGAAGGGGCTATCTAATTATATGGTTGAAAGGCTTCTGAAAGAAACTTTAAGATTACTAGGTTTTCTAGAAAACCGGGTTTTTCAGAAATCTGTATCTCAAGACTGCGACGTGTAGCATAACTTTTCTCCGTTGAAATATATAGAACTCGATGCGCTCTTTCATTTGACTAACTCCTAGAATCTTCGTTTGGGAATGTGGTCAGCACACGTTCTACAAGTTGACGTGAAAGGTCAATGTAAATGGTAAACGGTTTTATATGGCTTTAGCCTATCCGTCGCTGCCGAAAACATCAGTAGTATTTCTGGCGTTAGGACACCCAGGCTCCATTTGTTCCAATATTCCATATATCATTTTGTAGTCCCTGAAATTCTCTATCGAATCATTGTAAAGTGAAGTGGTTAACGATAAACTGGCTCGACAATATAAACGGTGAACTCTGTTGATCTATGGATTTGTGGAGGTCGAGGCTAGTATTTCTAGTGTTAGGACAAACACACCCCATTTGTTCTCAATATCCTATATATCATTTTGTAGCCTGTGAAATTCTCTATCGAATGATATTTTCATGGTAATTTCTTAAGATTTCAGAAGCTCTGACTAAATATTTTTGTAACCTTGGCAAATCTGTCTCATACTTATAATTCGGTTTTTGCCACAGTGCAACTAGTTACATGGACAATTCTTTCGTCTTACTCTTTTGTCAAAAATTATCATTTTCAAACAGTCATGTCGAACCATTGTATAAAATTCTCATAACCTGATCTCCTTATGTGAAAACTTCGATAAGTGCTTTTATTTTGGTATCGTGAATGGAACGACAATAGTTTCGCTGTTTTTCAGAGTTTTAATATAGTGCATTTTGTTCAGTATTTTGCGCTGCTTAAATGAGACGGTATTCGAAGGAATCCTACTAAAAATGGAAAATTTATTCGGAAACATTTCTTCATCTTTTTCTCTGTTTGACAGGCCTAGCTTCGTATGCGCAAGAACGCATTTGGTTAGATGAACACCTAAGATTTTATAATGTAAACAAAAAGATGACTATGTATAACATTCTTTGCGTGTATCGTATTCATCAAGGACAAATATTAGTAAAACATTTACGTCAATCTTTAAACAGATTAAGTCAAAAACATTCAATTTTACGCACATCATTAATATATGATCATGATAAACAACATTTAAAACAAATGATAAATAGTCAATTAAATTATCAATTTCGAATAACAACAATTCAACGAAATCAGACTAAAAAATTAAAACAAATAATTTCTAATGAAGAATTATTCCATTCTGAACAAGGTCAAGTATTTCGTTGTCATTTAATGCAATACTGTAACCGTGATAGTAACAATAATAAAAAAAGATTAAAAAAAAACGATTTAATTATATTCAGTTTCCATCATTCTGCCTTTGATGGTGGTTCTATGGATATATTTATATCAGATTTTAAATTATCCTATATGAATCAACTGAAAATAAATGAAAATGATTTAAAGTATATTGATTATGCCCAATACGAACGACAACTGGATATGACAAAAGCTAAACAGTACTGGAAGCAGTTATTGGAAGGCTATGATATGGAGCGGCAATTGCCACTACCATTTGATCAACATATACATACACATCAGAGAACTGGGCATGGTACATCTGTCAAAATTTATCTAAATCAACAATTAGTTGAGCAAACAATTCAGTATATTGAGCAAATCAATGTGTCAATGTTCCAATTATATCTTACATGCTACTATATTTACCTTTATAAGATAATACAAGAAAAAGATTTATGTGTGGGAAGTTTGAATGCTAATCGTTATCGTTCAGAATTACAATCAATGATAGGTGTGTTTGTTAATCTATTACCTTATCGTTATCAATTGAATCCATCGGAAACATTTTCAAACATTCTGGGACAAGTAAAACAACGATGCTTAGATATTTTACAATATTCATATTTACCTTATCAAAAAATTATTGAACTATCTCGTGATGTAAATCAATCATCTTCCATATTACCATTTATACAAACAATATTTCGATTCCACGAAATACACTCAACATCGATTAACTCTCAACTGAGCTTACATGATAAAACTGTTCTACATCAATTGAATTCAAATGATATAAATTATACTGTTAAAACAACAAAATTTGATTTAACACTTTCGATTAATTATGATCCATATGACAAAAGGATTCAATGTTCCTTTGAATACTCTCAAGATGTATTCAAACATTCAACCATTGAAACAATGTCACAACGATTCCATTCAATCTTAAAACAATTATTTTCATCTTCTTCTTCATTTGAGAAAATGAAACGTCCAGTTTATGAACTTTCCATTCTTTTACCACATGAACAACATATCATTCAAGAGTTAAACACTACACAAGTTGTTAATGTCGACGACGATGAACTCATGAATAAGAATAAATGCATTCATCATTTGTTTATTGATCATTGTCAACGATACGAGCAAAAACTAGCAATTATATTAGATGAACAATCGCTGACATACTCAGAACTGTTCTACTATGTTCAACTCTTATCCATGCATTTAATTAAAGAGTGTTATGTGAAACCACAACAAATCATATGTCAATGCTTAGAACGTTCCATTGAAATGCCAATTGGTATATTAGCTATTTTAATGTGTGGTGGTAGTTATTGTCCACTTAATCCACAAGATCCACAAAAACGTCTTTTAACATTGATAGATGATACACAAACAAAACATGTTCTTATTCATAATTTAACAAAACAGACATTTATTGATGAGGATGATAAGAAGAAAAACATTGAATTTATTAATATCGAGTCATTGTTTAATATACCCAACAATATATTAATAACTGATCATGACCTAAAGGAAGTCGCATATACTGATATTTATCATGAACATATTGCTTTTATTCTATTTTCATCCGGATCGACGGGTAAACCAAAACAAGTAAGTTGTATTTCTTTCTAGAGGAACTAAATGTTGTTATAGGGATTATTCTAGAATAAATGTTTGACATTATACTACACATTTCTTTCTTAACATAGATTCAAATTCGGCATCGAAATTTCATTTCATCGACTATATCTTCTCTTCAAATAAAAATATTTAACAGTAATGACATATTTGTGCAAATAGCTGAATGTTCATTCGATGTACATCTGGAAGAATTAATCACCCCATTATGTTTTATTGGTACAACAATTGTTTTGCTGCATCCATTTGGTCAATATGATGTTGATTACGTATTACAAACAATTGCGAACGAACATGTTTCGTATCTTGGTGTCGTACCAACATTTATCGATAGTTTATGTCAATATATGGAGGAATATAAACAGTTTGGTTGTCTTAACTCGATAAGAACACTTGTCTTAGGCGGTAAATACAAACTCTGATCAGTTTCTGTCATTTTATAGTTTCTACTGTTGCACTTCAGGAGATACGTTGACAGCTTCTATTTTGTCAAATACATTAAATTACTTACCATCAACAAGCAAAGTTTATTGCGGTTATGGTCCCGCAGAAACAACACTTCTATCGTCTTATCATTTAATTACAAAGAACGATTTAAGTGGAAAAGAAAAAATTCCCGTGGGTCGTCCAAAACCAAATTATCAATATTATGTGTTGGATGAGTATTTACAATCTATGTCTATTGGACAAATTGGTGAAATTTTTATTGGTGGTTAGTAAATATCTCTCTTTCCATTCGTATTTTATTGATCTTACACAAGAATCTTCTGTATTTAGGTGTTGGTGTATTTGTCGGATATTATAATCGAGATGTACAAAATACTAATAGTCTTGTTACTTTACCAGGAATGAATAATGAACAGAAATGCTACCATACTGGTGATTTGGGAAAATTTAATCGAAACGGAGAATTGATTTTTGTTGGACGAAAAGATTATCAAATTAAGTTGAGAGGTCAACGTACTGAAACTGGTGAAATAGAACAAATAATATTGAATTCTTCTTCTGAAATCACTAATTGTATTGTTATCAGATATATAACTGAACAAAAACAACAAAAAGAGTATCTGGTTGTACATATAGAATCACTTACAGATGATAAATCAGCATTAAAAGTAAAAGTAAGAGAATATTGTCAACTACATTTACCACAATATATGATACCATCATTATTTATCATTATGCAACAATTTCCTCTCACTTCAAATGGTAAAATTGATCGCAAAAGATTCTTATTAGATGATTTCTCATCATTATTAAATGATGAACAATACCAAGAACCAGCAACAGAAATGGAAATGAAACTTCATCAATTATGGTGTCATGTATTAAAAATAGATGGTCAAATATCGACGAATAAAAACTTCTTTTCACTAGGTGGTAGTTCTCTGATATTAATGAAATTACATTCACTGTATCAACACTATTTATATATAAACAAACATACGATGAGTATTGCTCAAATGTTTCATTATTCAACAATCAAACAACAAGCAGAAATAATAACGAAATTAAATCCAAATACATGTACGTAAATCTGTATCTACATGTACGTCCCGCCCCTCTTTTTTGACCTTCTTGGAAACCGGGGAAGCCAATGTCGGATCGGGGCGAAATCCATATCGGAGATAGGACATCGAAAAATAAAAGGGTGAGTCTATTGACACGCCCGAGCGTGTAAAGACATAATGTCCGTTTCTGACACTAACCCCAACTAGTACATACGTGTAGAAGTTAAAAGTTGAATTCAACTATTAATAGCTGAAAAATTATTTCAATTATTGAACTACATTGACGTATTCGACTATACAACTTTTCACTTCTGAAAATGAATAAAATAGAAACTATTAGTTTTTTCAGATATTCAGCTGACACTTAGAAAAGTAATGTAATGTAATTTAATGTTGCTTAAAATTTTAATATTTATTTTTACAGAAAAGCTGTATAGCAGCGAAGAGAAAAGACGGATCGCTTTCGAATTGTTTTTCAAAGTCTCGAAGTGAAGCTATCTGGAAACGGTGAAGAAATAAAGATAAGTCATGCCTTTATATAAGAAAATATCTATCGGAAAAAGAATGAGAAAAAAGTGGTCTCATTTTATGTCTCGGACTGTCCTCTGTACTAGACTGTGTTCAACTTTTCTGCAAAAAAGAGAGAGGAGGGTACCCTTAAGGGTCTAACGATGCATGTAATTATTGATAAGAAATATGACTGATGAAATTGATTTTTCTTCTTCAATAAATTGATTTTTAGGCTCTCAATAAAATGAATCAATTTAATATCTTAATAGTAGAGATTTTTTGATAAATTAATGAGTGCTATGTTTTAGCTACTATGAATAATGAAAGAGTAAATTTATATAATATAATGAAAAATGATAATATATTAAATTTATCTGATGTTGTTACTGTGCAGACATGTCAAAAGTTGAATAATAATTCAATATTTCTTACCGGTGCTACCGGATATCTTGGTAGTTATTTGCTTAAAGAATTATTAGAACAAACACAATCAACAATCTATTGTCTTATGCGACCATCATCAAAATTTCTATCGCCTATTGAAACTTTAAAGTACTATGATCTGTTGAATTCATCAATTTGTACAAATCGTATTATTACAATACAAGGTGACCTTGAACAGTATCATTTGGGTTTAAATGAATATCAGTGGTTAGAATTAAGTCAAAATATTAATAGAATTTATCATTGTGGTGCTATGGTTAATCACATAAAAGATTATAAATCACATAGATTATCAAATGTTAATGGTACAATTGAAATTATACGTTTAGCGTCTATGAATCATATAAAAATAAATTATATTTCAACATTAAATGTTTTTAATACTATTAATTATCTTGTAGAACAAAATGGTTATGTTCAAAGTAAAACAATTGCCGATAGTCTTGTTAGACAAGCAAAAGAAAAACTAAATTTACCAATACAAATTTTTCGACCAGGTAAAGTTTGTTGTTTGTTTAATGGCGACTATAAGTTATTGACCCAAAACGGAATATATATGAGCTTGTAGAGTAAGACTTGCTCTATCCAGTAGTGTATATATCGAATCCTAATGTGCACCACCGGCAAAGAAAATGAAACGTAACCCTCTATTTTTAGACTTTTTTAGAAAATTATTTTATCATTTTGGACGTTATATCACAAATATGACTTTTTCAAAGCAAAATGATTATAACTCTATCAAAAAACATGGTGGAGAGCTGGGAGACATCTCATTTTGTCGAGAAATCCTTACTCTATAAGACTGACTGTTTGAAAGGTTTATTAAGTACTGAATAGAAGAGAAAAGGGTTTGAAAGTTAAAAAAATAGCGGTTTACAACGTAAAGTAACAAACTTTAAAAAGTTCGTATCTCCTCAACGAAAAGCTTTGAAGAGCTGTGAATGGTCTTATTTTGTAGAGAACACTTTATTCTATAATGCACAATATTAAACTCGATAATAAAATAAATTTCTAAAAAAGTCTAAAAATAGAGGGGGTTACGTTTCATTTTCTTTGACGGTGGTGCACATTAGGATTCGACAATATATACAGTACTGCATAAAGCAAGTCTACCTCTACAAGCTCATATATATCCTGTTTTTGGGTCAGACATCACCCTGAAACTTACAGTTGCCTTTTAGTCTAATGTTGTTATTTATATAATTTAAGGTATGATATCTTGGTGTACAACAACAGGTTGTTTTAATAAACAAGATTTTCTATATCTACTATTTGCCGGTCTGATTAAATTTAGTTACGCACCTGATTTAGACATTCAATTAGATTTATCACCAGTTGATTATATGAGTAAAAAAATTGTTGAATTAGGTGAACAGATATTCAATACTGATGATAATAATTATATCTACAATCTACATAATTTTAAAAATAAAATTTCATTTAAATTTATATGGAATAAAATATGTGAATTAATGAATAAACCAGCAAATTATATTGAATTTAATATATGGAAAGAAAATTTATTTAATTCATTAAATCAAAATAATAATGATGTATTAAGCGGTGTATTATTATTATTTCAAAATTATTTATTATGTGATATTTCTCCTTATCCACAACTGAATATCAATGATGATAATGTCAGTGATATTCAAGTACTAACTCATACACTCGATCCATTACCCTATATACAAAAACTAATACATAATCATTAATAAAATGTTTAATATTATGATCAATTTGCTTAGAAATTCGAACGATTCGCGTTATCGAACATATACGGCCTGGAAACTTGATGCGACCGAACTTGTTCGATCGAAAATTGCGAATAAGATAGTTTATTTTTTGTCTCATCCAATATTACGACGAGTGCTCTGTTGAGAAACTATTAGGAGAAAGTTACCATTAACCTTAGCAAGATACATTCGAATTAAGGCTGCAACTTTCTGTCTACTTCGTTTGTACAGTGAGGTAAAGCATTTTTGCATGAAAACAAAGTAAATCAATCTGTTACAGAAGCCACATCAATAAAATATGCTTTAGTTGGAGAGTAAATAAGATATAATGCAAACAAAAGGTACTTTGAACTTACTGCAAGGGGGAAAAGCAGAATGGCTCATTCCAGCCCATTCCATCCTATTCCATACCATTCCAAACCATTTTCACAATTTTTACTTTCTCCATTTTTGACAGACTTATATACTATCGAGTGTGTATTTTGACAAACAATGTGTTTGTGCGCATAATTTATTTGGTCAAGAGTAACTGCTTAAATGAGCGTCTTTTCAATACAAGAAAAATTAGGATACACCTTACTGAAATGAAGATTTCAGGCTGAATCTCAGAGCCTGGAGGTTTTTAGACATGCTGATTCCAATGGCGATATCAGTCTGCCCTGGTTTTGACTTTCATACTGGACAGAAAACTGGGCTTTGGAGCACAGAACTTTTGGAAATACTGCAAGTAAAAATATTCGCCGTCATCATTCAAACTTTTAAACAAGCTCACTCGACAGAGTTCACTTTTAGATATTTAAAACAGTTTTTGTTTTGGAAAAGCTCAAAAACCTGAAGGTTTTCCAAGAGCTTTTTGTTGAAAGTCGATAGCTCTTAGAAGATGATGGCTATACACAAAGTTCTAAAAATTTTATTATTTCGTTATTTGATAGTAGACAACATGCACTTAAAACGTAGATGGCTGTGGGTTTCCGACCCAGATCCGAAGTTGTTTTCCAGCGGTACTTAAGAAAACCATCAATCCCTAAAATAGAAGACAACTTAAATATTTAGATTTAACACTTATAAAAGATAGTCCGAGAACCTTACTACAACCAGACGTAGATCCGAGACCTAAAGCTTATGGAGAAACTCGGTGGTACCCATTTTCCGAAGCGCCTCTTACTTTCTTCTTATGGCATGCAAGACTAGTGAGGCCCTTTGAAGGAAGCAGGGGACAACGATCTTAAGAATACCCACAAAAAAATAGAAGTTCGCACTCAGCGTCAATGTGGGCCATTCCGGCATGTTCCAGCCCATTCCGAGCCATTCTACTATTCAAAAAACGCTTTTTCGCCCTTGACTTATTGTTATAAACCAAATATAAAGTTGCCGCCTTAATTCAAACTTTTCTCTAAATGACGGCCTACTGCTACGGCTTTAGAGCCCCATTTCTACTCTGTGATCAATTCTACTATATATAATATACTAGCAGGAATTCGTGCAAAGTTGTACGAGATGACTTTTAAGTGTTAGAAATTTTTTAAATAATATGTTAAATGGGTATGTATTTTTTTGCCAAATTTCTTTCTATCAAAATGATCACCAAAAAATAACACTTTTAATCACCAGATCAATTAAAGAAAATTTAAATTAAAGAAAATGTATATAAGAAGAGTATATAGCAATTAATTAGCAATGATTACCAATTAGTGAGTAGTTAGTTAGACCCGTTACCGTTTCCGGTGTAGGGTGAGAAACAGAAAAATACACAAATAAAACACAAAAAGCATTTCACAAAAGTCAGTGTTTGTGTAGTTTTTGCGAATAGTCTGTTGATCACTGCGGAAACTTAGTCCAGGATGTACATCAGAATACTATCCTCTGGTGACTTAGCTTAGATAGCACCCATCATTCACTCCAAGAATCGGTTCCCCGTAGGTGTTTAACAATCAGGAATTGCTGCTAACACTTAGTATTGTTCTTCGAACACCAACTTGTAGCATTAGGACATGCTTTTACATGATTTGTAATTCCTTGTGGTTTGAAATATTTTCCACACCCAGGACACTTGTACTGCTTATTAGTATTTTTGATTAACACCTCTGTAACTTTTCGTTTGACCACTCCATGTGATGCTGCCAGCTCCTCTCCTCTTCTTCTGACTGCACGTTGTTTATATTCATAGATGATGTCTTGAATTCTAGCATTTGCGGGTCTCACTTGCATATTTCTATTGAGACTTGTCTCTTTAACTTTAAAGTTTTCACGAAGAAAAACGCAAAATACTGAGACGCTCTCAAAATTGTCCAAAATCTTAGCTTTGAGAAAACTGAATTTTTCTCCTCCCATTTCGCTTTTCGATTCCACCAGTGTGATCCTCATTTAAAAATGCATCTAAAAGAATAAAACTTTTCTAAAAAGAAAATTCATTTTTCAGAGGCGAAAAGTTCAAATTTTGTCGGTAATTCTCAATTTTCATCATCAGAACTCAACTTTTGAGTAACAGAAATATCCGGAACCAGGATAAAAGCCAGAGTCGATTAATGTGTATGTCTATCCTATCTGACTTCTTTAATTTTTTTCTAATTTTTACGTTGAAAAATTACCGAGATTTTCATCCAAAACTGAAAATTAACTAAAAATTTCAATTTTGAGAACACATCAATCAGAGCTTTGTACTTTATAAAACTAAGGTACTTCAAGGATTTTGAATTTTGTTTTTCTAGGTAATACTTCTGAAATATAAAATTCAACGTACCTTTTCAAAATTTAAACTTGAATAAGAACCCTGTTAAACTTTATTTTATCGGAATTCTGAAACGACAGGTTTGTTCAGTTTTCCATGCTCTTTCGAACAGTTTATACGAAAATTCTTTTGGTAGACATTTATTAAAAGAAAATTTCAATTTTTCGAGTTTTTTAAGGCTCTGTGGATAGAACCCAAATTTTGAGTTCAAGATTACCGGCTTTCAATAAGTCTTTATTACAAAAATATAGCCCGTAAAATTTAGGGGTTCAAAATATTTTTCTTCCAGCCGCCAAAAATACAAACCTTTTTTCTTAGTTTCACTTTTCTCCCTCTTAAACAGCTATTAAGAAACGTTAAATTTATATGGATCGATAGCAAATTTTACGGGTTATATTTTTGTAATAAAGACTTATTGAAAGCCGGCAATCGTGAACTCAAAATGGGGAGGGGGGGGGGGCGGCTTAATTAAAATTTGAACTGTTGGTCCCTCTTTTGGAGAGCTTGCAGCTCGATCAATAATAATTGTAGAAGCGTCTTCTTGCATACGTGCCCACACATTTATTTCTAAGTTACCGCTTTGTTGGAGATCATGAAGGAATATATCATTTGATAGAGATTTTCAGGCGCTACAAAACTATGTACTTGCTCTCCCAAAAGGTTATTAATCAACAATTATTTTAGCCCATTTTTAGAAATATTCGATTCCTAAGAGGTTTATTACTGTGTGCGCACAAAAGGCATTTTCTAAATAACTATTGAATAACAATCGCTAGAGAGTTGCGGTTTCTGTCATTTGATAAGCAAGACATCGACACATCTTTATGTAATTGACGAGCTTTCAAAAAATTCTTTAAAAATCGGTTGTGCCGGAGATCTCCGGATAATCGAACCATGACTCTGAAATGTTCTGGAATGCTTTTTCAAACACGAGCATTGCTATTAAATTCAGCGTTGCTGACTACGTATGTTTCATGCAATCTAAATGTCACCGCCAGTCACCGTATATCTCTCCTGAGACTGGACATGGTTGGATAGAACGCATCAAGTTGAGTATGGAAAACTGGTTTTTAAGGCTTGAAAAACTTTTGAGAGAGGAAATTTTAAAATATGAAGTAGACACATTTTATCGAAAAATCACTAGGTTTCGAAGAAAAGTTCAAAGTAAGTAAGTTTTTCACCAAAGTATTAAAATCAGCTAAAAATTTCGAAATGTATATCATTCGGCTCCATTTTTGACGTTGATCCCAAATATTATATTCTTATTACATAAAAAGTGAGTTGTGTTGGAGAAAATTGGAAATTACTGGCAGAATTCCGATTTTTTTCGTTCCTGATCTAGAAAAAATGAATTTTCTGAGATAAATAATAAAGAAAACGATATGTGGGTTTGTTCCTCAACATTTGGCGATTCAGAAATACTGCCTTCATATCTTACCAGAAAAAACTAGATAGATTTACCAAGTGGGTGAAGAAAGGTTGAAAGATCCAAAATTAATAATCATGTTACACGCTCAAAAGGAAGTTTCTAGACTCGGTGTCATATGTTGAGCCTGAAAAGAGTGATTTCGAACATTTAAAAGAGCGAGAAACAAAGTCATGAACTTGTCTTCGAAACATAGCGGTTTTTCGATAAAACTCTCTCAAAAATTCTCTCTCAAAATTTTATGAAGCCTTAAAAATCAGTTTTTCATACTCTACTCACTGCGTTCTATCCAATCATACATAAACACAAAAACAGAAATTGTGCTAAAGTTTTAAATTAGTGACACCCTACAATTATTTCACTTCTGCAAACTATCGTTACTTATACTGTTCATGAAAATTTAACAAAAGCCGTGGGAAGATATTTTCATACATGGTAGCCACGCGTGGTATTTATTACAAATATAAATAGCAAATTCACTCTTCTGTTTACAAGCAGCTCCACAGGAGATGCTGGAAACGAAAAATACTTTTTTCTAATTACGTTAATGACACGCATGAAAACTCATTTAAGCCCAGATCTGGGAACGCATGAAGGGCCACACGTGGACATCAAATATAACCAGGTTGACCCATGCAAAATAGAGTCCAAAATAAATTGATGGATCCCCACGCGTGGTCAGGACTTGGGAAAGGCAAAATTTTCCAGATGGAAAGGAGGTCGACGTTCTAATCTGAAAAAACGTTTCGCTCTCTGTTCCAACAAGATTACTGATTCCTAGTTAGAAGGGCTAGAACTGAATTAATCTAAGAAAAAATTCATGAAAAGAAACATAAAGAAATTGTCTATGACATTCAACGTAAAAAAATAACAAGTTGAAAAGATTTGTCAGATTATCATGTACCATTCAGGACATTTTCATGCCGATTAATCGTGATTTCGATAAAGTGTTGATTGCTTTTGAGAAATTCTCATTTAATCTACCGAAAGTGAAGCGATTCTAGTAATATAGTCATAAGAATTAAAAGAGAAAAATAAAATCCCTTTCGATCGCAATTTTGTTCAAGGATTCATCTTCTTTCGGTTTCATTGGAAATAATTTTTAATTCGATCAAAACACAAAAAGACTAATCCTAGTGGAAATATGATGTGTTATATAGAGCGAGAGAGAGAGAGAGAGAGGAAAAAGCAGAATTTTTCTTATACTTCAAATAAACGCAAAGTACAGCGATGAGTACAAGTGATGTTTTAGTGAAGATAAATAACCAATTGAATATATATGGTGGCTGTTTACTAGTTCTATTGGGCCTATTTGGTAGTATATGTAATATATGTACATTTGCCATTCATAAATCATTACGAACAAATCCATGTGCATTTTGTTTATTATGTTCATCAATAACAGACTGTTGTTTTATTTTATTAGTCATATTCACGGGCATATTTGCGTATGGTTTTAATATTGATTGGACATTAACAAATCTAGGGTGGTGTAAATTACAACTGTTCTTTCTGTTTACGCTGAGTATGATCAGTGTCACATGTGTTTGTCTGGCAACCATAGACCGTTATTTTTCAACATCACGATCGGCAAAAATAAGATCATTTAGTAGAATACAGGTAGTACATATAGGTGTTTTTGTGATAGTGGTTATTTGGTTATTGCATACCCTTCCAATTATAATTTATTCTAATATAATACAGTTTAAACAAGAAGAAAATCAAAATCAAACAGGTACATTATGTATTTCTACATCATCAGCATTATTAAATTATATTGCGATTGCACCACCTCTATTTATGGGCTTTTTACCACCATTCACTTTAGGCCTATTTGGTTATTTAACGTATAGAAATTTTGGTCGGAAACAAATAAAAATTGAACCTTTAAGTAATAATTCCTCATCAAAAGGCGTTGTATCAATCACAACAATAGCAATAACAACATTAAGATCAATTGATAAACAATTAATATCAATGTTATTAATACAAATTATTGTTTATATTCTCTGTACAGTACCATTTTGTGCATATACTATTTACTATGTTGTAGTAGTTCAAAATTATACCCAAGCCACAGTTATGCAGATTGCTATTACTGATTTATTTAACACAATTGCTTCGCTATTATTTTATGTTAATTATACATTCAGCTTTTACATTTATATGATATCATCCAAACCATATAGAAAACAATTTAAGAATTTATTTACTATTAAAAAGCATTAGATGGTGTTGTACCTACATGTGTTTTGTCTATCTGTGATCTAGCTGATCCATAAAACGTTACATATAGGTAGACTTGCGATTTCTATCAGCAATTTTTTAATAGTGATTTTTTCTCAAGACAACTGAGAGACTATCATTCTACATTAATGTATCGGAGGCTAGAAGACGGCTCCACTATATGTTTGTTTGTCTTGCTTCGTTTTAAGTCAATCTGGCGAGCATGAGAGTAATACGGGGGCAGTTTGTTCTTACACATGCTATGATAATAGGATCTTTACTTCATCTACTTTTATTTGTGTTATCCCATATTTAGTAAACGTGGTTAAAATACGGGTTATCAAGTTTTTAGCACATATCTGCCGAAAAAGTGAGTTTTGCCTCACGCATGTGCATTGTGGGGTGATCTTTTTTTTGTTTTTTAATAGTACACATCTATAGCTACTCGAATACACTATTGGCTCGCCGATATATATCCTGTCTTATCGTGACATAACATTGTGATGACTCACATTTTTCGTTTTTTTGTAGTGTAACACTATATTGTTAGAATCGCTTCACTTCCGATCGATTAAACGAGAATTTCTCAAAAGCAATCAACACTTTATCGAAATAATGATTAATCGGCATAAAAGTTCTTTGCACCCAAAGACTTGTCACTTGATACCACAAAATGTACGATTTAGATTATTTTTAATTCGCAGAAAAAAAAGATTTATTTTTCAAAACGGTACAATGAACTTGCCAATCACTCCTATATATATAACACATCGTATTTCCACTAGGATTAGTCTTTTTGTGTTTTAATCGAATTAAAAATTATTTCCGATGAAACCGAAAGAAGATGAATCCTTGAACAAAATTGCGATCGAAAGGGATTTTATTTTTCTCTTTTAATTCTTATGACTATATTACTAGAATCGCTTCACTTTCGGTAGATTAAATGAGAATTTCTCAAAAGCAATCAACACTTTATCGAAATCACGATTAATCGGCATGAAAATGCCCTGAACGGTAGAAGATCGAAGATTAGTAATGCAGGAGCGTAGCTGAATTTCATTGTTTTAACTTCGAATTTTTTCATATTTTATTTATTGATGTTTCGAGAATACAATACTCATTATTAAGAGAAGGTAAGAAGAGAGATATTTATCGTAAAATAAAATTGAAAATATACCTTTTGTGTAACATGCGTCAACATTGCACTACACAGTAGGCAATCAAGTGGACATTTGGAGAACAATCGAAAGTGAGTTTTTCGAGATTTTAATCTTGTCAAATACACTTTGACCACTGGCCGATTTTTTCACGAAAGAATGTCGGCTCTAACTCTTTAGGTCACCGAGAAAGTTTCGGTACGAAGAAGGAGCAGATTTCGGAGACATCTGACAAGAATGCAGCCTGATGAGATCCCAAGACGCAGTGGATGAATACAATCGACATTTTCCGAAACTGGAGTTTCTGTACTATAGGTTCAGCGAAAAACATTTTGTTTCCTCATTTTTGTGTCGGAAAAAAGAAGGATTTTACCTTCAGTAGATGTTTTCTGAAAACAAGTACTCCGTACAGTGTTTGGCGAAGCTTCGAATTTGATGAAACTTTCAGAGAATTATCTTCTGTCTGCGATAGATCTATACAATTAGTGCAGACATACGTAAAATCTCTGGACTGAGTTACAGGTCTTTGCTCCTTGTTTTTGTTGACTCCTAAACACTTGAGCACAAAATGGATGGCAAAATCCGGATCTATGGCTGTATCTAGCGTAGCTCTTTAAAAAAATTCAAAGCGGTTTTCTGAAGGTTTTTTAGAAGTGAAATCTTTAGCATCTTTTGAATTCTGCTTTTAATCTCACGAGGGAATCTTTCCAAATGTCCTTCGTTTTCTTAACGAAATGTAGTAGGTTATAGGTAATCGACCATGCTGATTCCAAGTACGAAAGCTGTTTTTCCCTATAGGCCTTCTGTAGTTGACGCCGATGAACGTATGTATCGCTTTCAAACTCATGTTAAAGATTTTTTTCCACCTAAAAAACTTTAAAAAATTTTTCTTTTTAGATAAAATAAGCCGCTTGGACATCTGAGTGGTTGAACTAAATCATATTTTAAATCATATTCTGGTTCACTTTAAAATATATATATTGCAAAAGTTTCAGCTTCATCCGATGCATCTTCAGTCGGTAAACGGAGCAATACGTTTCCTCATTTTTCACACTTGTGACCTCTATAACTCAGACATCTTACATCGTACAAAGTTCGTGGCAGCAGAGTTTTTTCTTACCTCATCGAGATCTATTACCACTGGAAGTTTCAGATATGTACGACCTGTCATTTTCCGGCTACCCGAGAAACTTAATGGGTGTCCCTACGTGAAACTATAATTCTTCCGATGTTTGAATACGAAATTATACTATCTCATCCTCTACGGTAACAAGAACGAAAGTTAGAATGTAAGATTACTTAACTCTAGAGGAAATATAAAGTTCTAGTGGTAAATCGCCACTTTATTTCTATAGTGTTGTTTACAATCAAAAATATATTCACAAGATCAACAGAACAATACTGCAGCGAGCCAAAAGCCTTTGTACAGAAACACATGTCTAACATTAAATAATACAAAATGATTTCCACTATCACTTTATTATCAAATTCTTTATCAAATACATTTTTTCAAAATTGTAAACACAAATATCTGTACATATGGCAATTAAAGTTGATATAAGCTATTTATTTGAAAAAGTAAGAAATCAGCAATTTTATACTATCTCTACCCACCGAAAGAGAGACAAGCTCCATTATTATCGGCGATAGAGAAAAACAAGAGCTACGCATATTGTGATCACAATTGAAGGTTCTGGTAAAAGTAGCAATTAAAGTTCCTAAATAAGAGCAGAAAAACGTTCACGTTAAAGTAAACAGCAATTTATCTATAAGTAATTAAGTATTCTGGATAAATTTGTTTCTTGTTATTCGTTGACTGTGAAGGAAAGGGTCCTATCGAGTTAAAATGCCTGTATGTATCTTTGTATGCCCACAGACCAGATACTAGCGACAGACAAACTAGTAGAGCACAAGTTGATTGGCTAATAACGATATCTACTAGGCAGTCGACTATGGGGAATCAACAAATGAGTAAGAGCGAACTCTACGATAATTCCTATTGGACGAAAACATCAAGTCCACTCCATTGAGTTGAAAACATTCTTCGAACAGTACGAATCGAATCTAAAACAATTCTCAGGCTAGATGAATTTAGTTGAATTGAATCGAAAATTTTTTCACAAACCATCGAATTGAATTGAACTGAATTGAACTGAATTGAAATTTTTTTCAAATGAATCCAATCGAATTAATTCCCTTTTTAAGCTGAGTTGCCCAGCTCTGGTTATTTCGGTATGGTTTATGCTATGATTTCAATTGGTTTACTTGGTTTTATTGTTTGGGCTCATCACATATTTACTGTTGGTATAGATGTTGATACTCGCGCCTATTTTACTACAGCTCCTTACTTCATGTTATTCCTGCATATGTATTTTTACCACTATTTTTAAAATATACTACATAGATNCCCCCCCCCCCCCCCCCCCCCCCCCCCCCCCCCCCCCCCCCCCCCCCCCCCCCCCCCCCCCCCCCCCCCCCCCCCCCCCCCCCCCCCCCCCCCCCCCCCCCCCCCCAACAGTAATCATAAGGGCTCCTCGCGCTTTTCTGTTATCTCTGCAACATTCTATTATTGTTTTCTTAGCTATCTTTTTGTTGTCAAATAAAAATAAAATCGTAATCGTATAAAATCGCAATCGCTGAGAGAGTTTCTTGTCCCACATGATCGAAGAACTCGCGTTTAACGACGAGTAGAAATCAAGAATAAAAAACACAAGTGATGACAAGTACCACTGGATGATGAACCACCAATAACGAACTTCTTCGTCAATAGATACTGTGTTCGTGGGAAAAGAGGATTTTTCCAAAAAAGAGGCCGAAAAGAGGATTTATAGAAAGAAAAACGAGAAAAAGAGGAGGAGTGGGAGGCCAGCTTGTAGAATAATACACTTCATGTAAGTACAGTTTTTTCAACTGATACAGCATTTATTTGATGTGGCAATTAATGTGTTTCATCCAAAGATTTTCTGAAAATCTGGTTGGAAAGCCAAAATCGTTTCGTTAATCTGTTTCTAGTTTGCCTGTAATTTTTAAATACTAAGTGAAAATAGGCTAAAATGGATCATTTTATATTTAATTAATTTTCACTATATTTTGAATTGTATCCAAGAAGGACATATTGTCAAGAGATTCTGCGTGGTCTATTACCTATGTTTCATCGACTCTCCAGGCTATTAAAATTCACTGGATACTGATTCTAGGACTGCTGGAAAATTTGATACCACGCCAAAACAGTTGGAAACTAAGATCTCACTTGGCTCGCGTTTCAATAAGAAGATTATAAATTATTATTAAGATATTCTAACAAAATTCTATCTCTCAAAAAGATTTAAAATTAATTTTGATTGTGACAAGATGTGTCTTAGCCTTCTTCGGTGAACAGCCAAAAAAACAGATTTCTATCTGTTTCCAGTCAAATGAACTTACAAAATAAACAGATTCTTTGTTTTAATGGGCTGCCAAAATTTTGGACATGGAGAAAACTCAATGAAGGTTTAGTTTATTGATGCATATACCGAAGGGGTGTGAGGTAGTAATTGATTAATGCCCAGCTTCTTACCATGTCTGGCACCTAATTCAATTAATTTTATTGACCGTAATTTAAAATTCTCACCATTAAGACTTTGAAATGCACGCATATCCCGTCACACGTGTTCGGCTGCAGCTATCATTATCTTCTCCTTCATTTCACGTGTTATTTTCGGTGTTTGTAATATTGTTGTCACTGTTGCTTGAATCAGATCGCTATCGTTTCTCTTTTTCGCATCTATTTTCATGATGTGTCATTGAATTAGTCTCACTTTTTAATTTATACATAACAAGTTTAACACATTCATTATATTGGGCATA